GGAATATTGTTTTGTTCAGGGCTGAGCGGGACCACAGGTTCCAGATCTCCAGGTTTGCATCGTCTTCTCCAGGAGATGGAAAGTCATTAGACAATCTGAAAATAGTGTAGCATAATCTAAATTTGTCTTTAAAAAATCTCAAAGACATCTGAAAGCTGCAGTGGTTCTGGCTACTCCAACCATCCTTGTCAGTGCAACAGGAACATTAAATGCTCACATTTCTTTTTTCATTTAAAGGGCAAAATGAACAAAACCCCAAACACTGGCCTTCCCTTTGTCATAAAGATCGTCCTGATGCTCTCAATCAGAGATGGTTATGGCAGGTTTTGCATCTTCCTGGTGCCAGATGGAGCAAAATGCTTCACAGTGGTATCTTAAGAGGCACGGAAAAGTTCTCAAGTTTGATAAAAACAAGTTTATGCAAATTCACTTAACTTGGAAAAAGAAATTCCTAGCTGTTGCACCACTAGGAAAAGAGGGATAGGCTAGGGTAACATAAAATCAAAACATTCTGTGTTCCAGGAAGACTCGGACTGAGGATTAATGCCGGAAGCTCAAAACAGGAAGAGGGGCTGACCATCATCTGTAATTTACTCATAAATTGTCAGCCAGTCTCAGACAACTTTTCCAGTAAAATGTGACACTTCTTTAAATATCTACTGGCTTGGGGACCTATTTTTGTTGTTGTTGCTATTAATTATAATTTGTTAAAAAGAAAACAAGCATTGTAACAACAAATTAATGACAGACCGCGTCACCAGTGAGATAGCTAAGCCAAGCTACAGTTAGGCATTGCACTGGTTTACTAAAATTCTATCATGAGGGAAAATTAATTGAAAATATGAGAAGTACTCTTTGAAAGTAAAAAGTGAAGGCTCACTCTTATCCCTGATCTGTGGTTGTTAAATTAGCACGATAGATATCAAAACGTTGGTTTGAAATACAGAGTTTCCAGGAATTGTTTTTCCATTATTTTCCTTTAAATGTGTGTTTAGGCCCCCAAGCTCCTTTCCTCCAAGAGGCTGCAACACTGAACAATTCTGTAGCAGTTCTTACAAAGCAAGAAAGCTATTTTGAGCCCTTTGCCTTTTAAAACATTTAATGACTTTGTGCTTTAGCGACAGCCTCCAGATCCAGTCAACACTCCCTACTCACAGTCCTCTGAGGCGTCTGCGAGGCCTGGCAGAGACGACCTTCAAGCTCACAGTCACTGAGGGGTTTCATGTTCCCAGACCACAGGTCTATGGCCTCCACCTGTCCTTGCCAAAAAAAGAGAACGTGGCAGTAAAAATGTCTGATGCATGGCAGGGATGGTAGCCAACAACTACCAAGACAACTCATGTGGCATGAGTGCCCCAATTGTCAGGAGCACTGCAGGAAATCATTGCTTTAAATACAATAATTTTGATGAATAATTAAGTTGTCATGGAAAGGGAATTTTTTTTTTGATGGTCATAGACTTTCTCTAAATGAGATAGGTGTAAAGACAGTCTCACAGCTGAAGGATTACATGAATAGCAATGGCATGTCGGATTGGTTAGTTAGGTTCAGGTAGATAGCTACCTGTTGTATGCAATGGCCAGAAGAATGATTCTGTGACTGACTTTTCTCTGATGAGGAAGCTGATTGACAAGAGCTCTGTCTACCTAGCACTTCTACAATTGCTTCATGTTTGCCTGAGGAAGAAAACTCCCTGGAGAAGAGAAGATGGAATCAGAAGATTTCTGTCCTCCCCTTTGATGTTCAGCAGAGATGACCACCCAGGACATCCCCAGGATTAAATGGCGGCTCCTTCTACCCTCCCATAAGCCCCTGTGACAGGACAGCAGTCCAACTAGAAATTGTAGTGACTTAAAGACGGTTGTAAATCCTTTGCCATGTCTCCCATCAAAAGGTGAAGTTGAATGTCCTTTTCTTTCAATAATGAATTTTGGCCCTGTGGCCAGCAGTGACAGTAGAGAGTAACAGAGATAAAACCATGTATCTGCCAACACTTAGTCTTAAGAGATCTGCAGTTTCCAGCTCAGAGGGAACCAAGATGCAACTTTCTTCAGTCATTTCAGATGCATCCAACACAGGCCACCTCCACCACACCACCCAAGTTAAACCCCAAAAAGATTAAAGTCTTGTACCTGAGTGGTACCCATGCCGAGGTTGGCACCATGTTTGCCCTGGCCTCCAAGATCAGCCACTCCAAAAAGTAGGTGATGGCACTGCCAAGGCATCTGGTGACTAAAAAGGACTAAGGTTTACAGTGAAACAGGCCATTCATAACATGCAGGTCACCAGGCTGAAGTGGTGCCTTCCGCCTCTACCTCAATCATCAAAGGCATAAAGGAGCCACCAAGGGACAGAAACCAACAGAAAAACATTAAGCATTGTGAAAACGTCATCTCTGATAAGCTTGTCAACATTGCCTGACAGACGTGGCACTGATCTTTTTTAGCCAGGGAGCTTTCTGGAACCATTAAAGAGCTCCTAGGCACTGCCTAGTCTGTGGGCTTCAATGTTGATGGCCATTACCCTCATGACATCATAGATGACATCACAATTTTGTGGTAGAAGGCCCAGCCAGCTAAGCATAAGGGAAAATATTTTGATAAAAGATGATCTGACACAAAAATGAGATATCTGCACCTATGGTTATGTGTGCTAGGAAAATTCACTCTTGAAGTCAGCCACCATAGTATGAGAAGGCACAAAGAAAAGAACCACACTGCTTCCCATATTCATTAATAGCCGCAGCCATAGCCAGTATGGCAGCCATGTGAGTGAGCCATCTTGGATGTTCCAGTTCATTGACAACACAAAGAGCAGAAGAACTGCCAGCTGAGCCCAGGTCACTCCAGGATCATGAAAGGTAATAAGCAATGGTGGTAGTAGTTGTTTTAGAATAATTTGCTCTATATGATAGATAACCAAAATAGTCTGTTTACACAGAAAAATAACCTCTTGGATTGGAAGACCGCAGAGGTGATGCACACGTGGTGCACCTGGCTCTGAGGTAATGGGGCCAAACAGGAGCACATCACTGCTGGGATCCCTCATTTGCTCTGTGGGGAGGAAGGACATCTTGTTGGAGGGCTGAGCATGTACAAAGAATATAGATGGTCCCCACTCGAGTGCAGCACATCTGTTTCTTTCCCCAGCATTCCTAGAACACATTGACATGTGGATACACAAATTACCTAGGTCATCAAAGCTGGGGAACTCAGCTATCTCATGGTATTGGTCCATTTTCCACTGCTAGAACAAAATCCACAACTTAAGAGAGGAGAGGTTTATTGTGGCTCATGGTTTCATTGGTTTAGTCCATGGTTGGCAGCTTCAAGGCAGATACCTATAGCAAAAGGGGCACAGAAGAGGAAAGCTGCTCATCTCATGGCATCTGAGAATCAGAGTGAGTTGGAAAGAGCCAGAAAGGAAGGGGACAGGGACCAGAAATAGCACTCAAGGTCATGACCCTAATGATCCACTCCCTTGGACCAGGCCTCACCTCTGAAGAGCCCATGCAGCTATGCACTCATAAACTCACTGATGAGTCAGTGCTCTCATAATCTAATCACCTCTCCAGGAGTCTCTTAATCCATCTAAATTGACAAGATTAACCAGCTCACTAGTCCAGGATTCAACAGGGGAGAAGCATGAAGTTAAAGTAAGCTGGAAAAAGGAAAGCCTTGAGTTAAAGTAAGCTGAAAAAATCACCAAGAGTTCTATCTTTTCTACATAACTAATTTTTTAAAAAATGCTTTTGTTGTAAAAGTTGTCCCAAATTCCTTGCTCTTCTTGAAAAGTCAATGAGCTTATTCCTCATTATGTTTTTGGGAAGGCTAACTGTGAAAATCCACACAAAGTTTCTAACATCCTACTCCTATGAGCTAGATGCAAGATAAATAAATATCCTTTCCAAATGTGTGGTGGTTTCTATTTCTACTTTAAAGGGGATGGTGATGCCAAAATAGGTTTACCTCTGGAAAGTCAGCTAATTCCAATGTGTTATTTTAGACGAACACACTTAACACTCATATTCAAGCCTGTTGTTGTGATACCACTGTGGAAAATGTGGAACCATTGATCTTTTTCAAGTTGTGAGAACAGATATAGATAGTCTTCATCCGTGATGATTTCTTCCTGACATCTCCTGAGAAGACAAGTGAGGGTGATTCTTCAAACTTTGCTGATAAAATAATTTTTTAAGTCTGACCTTTGGCAAAAGACAACATGCCTGCAAGCTGTTAGGAAATACAAGCCTTCCCATCAAGTGTAAATGGATGGAATGCCCTAGATCCTTTTACACTGATGAAGAGGTTGCTTGTCCCATTTTGGAGCTTATGGCCTTGTGCTGCCTGTATGTTTTCCCAATGATGCATTCCATCAAGCTCTCTAAAACTGACTTTGCTTTGGATCCATTTCCACGGCCGATTTGCCAGGCTGCTGACTTTCCAAGAAGACCAAATACCCTTACATTCACTGAGTCTGAGCTCCAAATGGTTTCCAAACTTCAGTTTTGAAAGGAAAACTTCTTTTAGGGTGGTTTGGAGAGGAACCATAAAGGCTTCAGTTCTTTCTCTTAAAGAACCACAACCCTGACGTTTATTTTTTTCAAAGAGTTAGAAGGGATGAGGCTGACACACTGAGGAGGGACAGAATTTCTATTTCAGTGGGTTCCTTAAGGCAACAGAGGAAGCTTAGCGGCCACAGGAGTCTAGCTAATGAGCAGGTTATACAATATTCATTGCGTTGAGTTTAACTCTTCAAACAGAACGTCTAATTGCAAAGAGACAAAAAAGAAGCCAAATTACAGATGTTAAAACAACAAAGCTCGGGAAGAACTCCCTCTGTTGATAAACCTGTCCTTTCATGGCTTCCTCCATTAACTGCACACTGACAAGAGGCCCAGGGAGTCCCTGTCCTCATCAGAGATTCTCATTAGTTCGTTTTGACTGAGACACTCCACAGGGTCTAAGGAGGTCACTGAGGGGCCTGGCAAAAGGTTCTTTTCAGGGGACTGTTTTCTTGCTACTCCCAGAAGGGGTAATCCTGTTGTATTCCGCTTGAACCAGGACAAAACTGTTCTCTCCAGTCCTCCTGACGTGCACAGTCGCCCCACCATCACTCCTGGCAATGGCATCGGCACCAGGATCGCTGAAAGACACTCCTGTTCGTTTGTGGCAGCGCTGAGCGTGCAGGTAGCAAAGGCCAGCAGCCAGAGCCATGCCCAGAGCCACTGATAGGCAAAGCAGAAGTCCCAACTTGGGAGCTCTGAACTGGATCCCCAAAAGGCCACTGTCTTCCTCTAGCCCAACCTCAGGCCTTGGGTTGGTCTTGCAAGAGTGTCCCATGCTGGTCTCTCCAGTCCCCTCCCACACTCTGGCCTCCCTGAGCTTTGACTCGGGAAGAAAGCTGGCACAAGGCTTTGGTGCCTCTGCATGGCCACCAGCAGCAGGTAGTCTGGAAATGCTAGAGGTGTAGAAGTCAGGAGCTGGGTTAACTGCCCCAGCCCCATGCCCACTGAATGCTTCAGAGGACCAGGGATGCTGTGGATTGCTAAGATGGACAGTATACACAGAAGGCCTCCTCAGAGACCTATTAGAGGCCACCATCTTGTCCTAGAAAAGAAAAGAATAAAGCAGTCAAAGGGGCTGATCTTCCCTCCAGTTTGCCACTAAATTTTTCAACTCTCATGTTCTTTAAAGATAACACAGGCAACAGCTGAATACCCAGCCTCTTGCCTATTCCTAAAAGACCTTAGAGTAAAAGGCCCAAGCAGATAAACACACCATTGTAATTAATGGAGGAGTGTCTAATGGAAAACCCCACATGGTGTGGAGACAAGTCACAAGAATAAAGTCATGGCCCTGAAGGGGCTTCCAGGCTCCTCCTTTAGAGGATCGTGTCCTTTCTGGTGGCTAAAGCTTTGAGTGTCTTTTATAGTAGGACCCATGCAGGAGAGATCATTTACTCTTACTACAAGCTCCAAAAAATTGAAGCCAGAATATCATGCCATGTTTTATTTCTTCTAAGATTTCAAAAAAAGAGTAAGTCAGTGCACGTGTATATTTTATATGGTCCATTGATCTAACCTCCTGGGCCGTATCATATGGTGTTTTGAGGCCAGTGTTATGAAAAAGGAGTGGAGGGGGAGAGAAAATAGGAATTATTAACCAAGGCTAAGTGGAAAAACAAACTGCTAAGACCATCAACTTCTTCAATTGATGGTAACTTTGGAGACACTGCATAGAATGAGAGGGATAGTATTGATTAGTGCAAAGATACTTTGTGTATATCATGCCCTTCCTTTCTCTCTGACTTTGACCACTAGTCTAATAGCTCTTTTCCCAGCCTGTAGCTTCCTATCCAGAGCCAAAATGCCAAACTTGACCCCCATTTACAAATCAGGCTTTTACCTGTTCATCTTTCTCCAAGGACAGGCAAGTTTCCAAGGAATTAAAGTTTCGATCATCCTGAGTTCTAAGGAGAGAACCAAAGAGCTAAGAAGGTATCACTAAATATATGGATTCAAAACAATATTTCCTACCATTTTGTATATGCTGATGAAATCAGATTTCCTTGGAATAACTTCCAAGTTTGGGGTCAGGGGCCAGATTTGGGGGAAAAGTAAGAGGATGGTAGCAAAGAACTCACTAACTACTATCATTTATTTTATATAAAATATATTTCCATGCTGTAGTATAAATATATCTTAAAAATTATTAGTGTACTTTGTTTTATTTATAGTAGCATCTCAGAGACTTCGCTCCATTCAAGACAATATAGTTTTCCTGGGTAATTATTGTACCCAGCTCTTCTGACCAGTAGTCCTTTTACAGCCAGGGTACTTCAGGCTCTTAAGAATAAAAAAGGTAAGGGCCAGGGATTTAGCTCAGTGATTCTGCTGCCACCTTGCAAGTGCAAGGTCCATAATTCGATTCCCAGTACCTAAATAAATAAATAAATAAATGGCAGCACAATTCATAATAGCTAAATCTTAGAAGTGAGCTATGTGTCCATCAACAGATGAGTGGCTAAAGAAAATATGGTAGTTACACACAATGGAGTACTACTCTGCTATAAAAAGATAAACATGAGTCATCTGTAGGAAAATGGATCAACTTGAAACCATAATGTTAAGCGAAATAAATCAGACACACAGTCTTAACTATTGCATGGCTTCTCTACTATGAGAAACCTAAATTATAAATAAAGAGAAAAATAAAAGATAATAGGAAGTAGGGAGATAAACTTTTCTCCAATGGGGATGGGATCAAACGATGGAAGGATAAGGGAGTGAATGGAAGGAAAGAATAATTAAAATGTGCCATGTACACGTACCAACTCCATAACAAAGAAAGGAAACATTATGTGCTCCACATGCTAATAAAAAAAATGAAGAGAAAGAAAAAAAAATGGTTAAGATCCTTTTTTGTCAGACTTCAATCAAATGCCTCAGTGTGCAGCATTGGTCTACCACCTGGACCAAATAGCCACCCTATCACCAATTACCCTTGCTGGGTGCTTGGTTTAGAAGCAAGGCCCTCTGAGGAGACTCTCCTGAGGGCCACAAGCCTCTCCAGCCTATGGACATCCAGTGATGGTTCTAGGGTGGGGTTTCTGTCCCTGCTGGGCTGCTGGAAGTTGCTGGCTGTGGTAGCTGTCTGCGAAGGATTCTGGGTCAAAGTCTGGGCATCCTCAGGCAACTCTGTGCCCACAATACTTGTAGAAGCAAGATCTAGGCTGTTTTCCTTTGTGGCTCCTGTAAAGGCAACAACAATGAATCAGTGCACTGCTGCAGAAGAGAGATAGAGGCACTGGGAACTACACAGAGGCCCAAAGACACCACAAAGAGACAGTGAGAGCGTTTTCTCTGTATTAATTGGTACAAACAACTATGATGACCAGGTAAAGAGTGGAGACTCCAATGTGCCATAAGGACAAGCAGTAAATGTGAGCCACTCTAAAGATGATCTTCCCCGTAATATAAGGCCCTGACAAAGGAGCAAAGCACTTATTTCTTACTAAAAGAGGAAGTCCCTGGTCCTTCTGGACTTGTGTGTTCTTAACAGCCACATACAGGGGATAAAGAAACCACTGGACAACTGTGTATATTTAATCAAAAAGCTACTTCTACCTAGAAGTGAAATCCCACAAATTTTAAAAGACCTAGGTTGTCTAACTTAACACGTAACTCTAGAAGTTTCCCTGATGATAATGACCCAAGTTCCTGCTACAGGCAGAAATAAAATCTCTACAGGCAGAGATAAAAATCACTCCACTTGATTTCTTCCTTGCGACTGGCTAAGGTGAGGGCCCGGAGCCTCAGAAATAGCTGCACATGAGGCAGCAAGCAAGTGCAAATTTTAGAATCAGATTATTGTCTAAGTTCAGCGTGCCTCTCTGCTATTCCCGGCCTTGGGAAAGTCCTCCAGGAGCCTTAGTTTCTTCATCTGCACTATGGGACCAGTCATGGTATCCAAGAAATGGAATCATTGAGGGGTGATGTGAAATCACTAATATAGAAGAGCGAAGCATGATGCAGGGCATGCGCTGAGCATCAACCACCGTAACAGTCAGAATACAGTAACAGAAGACCATTGGGCAGAAGTCTCTCCCTGCAATGGTGGCTCGGGGTGCAGCAATGACACAGATTTGCATCTGTCATGCCTGAACTCAAAATCTGGGAGGAGAGACCCTTACATGCCCAATCACTGAAATTCTGTCATGACACTTTATTACCAAAGCTCCGAAGGTGAATACTTTGATGCTATGCTCTGAACATCTCCCCCAAAATCATGATGAGACCTAATCCCCAGTGCAATAGTACTAAGAGGTAGGGCTTTAGGATACGGCTAGGTTAGGAAGGCAGAGCCTCAGGGATTAATGCCATTATAGAAGAGGCCTAAGGAGTTTGTTCACCCTTGCTGCCACACAAGGATACATACAAGGCACATATCCAAGGGACAGCCCTTCACCAGACACCAAATCCAATGGCACCTTGATCTTGGACTTCCCAGCCTCCAGAGCTCTGAGCAGTGACTCCCTGTTGTTTACAAGTTACTCAGCCTAAAGTATTCTGTTGTTGTACCAGCCTGAACGGGCCAAGACACTTGTTTACCAAGGGAGCATGAGAAAAACTTTCACCCGGGGATAGACTGGACATTGAAAGTGATGTAGATCATCACAAAGAAGGTACAATTTGAGGACATGTCGGAAGGGAGGCATGGAGATGTAAAAGTAAATCATACCTTAATGGTGTGGGCAGGACGCCAGAGGGTCCCAAGGGTCTACTGGCAACTGTGTTTGAGAATCACCAGAGTTTATATAAATTAAGGTGCAGGGCAGTGCCAAGAGGTGAGGAACATGGGCAGCACCATGAGGGGTTTACACTGTGGCTGCTGAGACTGACCTCAGGGTCACAGCACCCAGGGGGTCAGGCATCCAAGAGGCTGGAGGACCGATGTGACATTGCTCCAGAAGCCTCACTTTCAGTCATATCCATATGACCGCAAACGCAGCTATGCTTGGGGTGGCAATGCAATCATTGCCTGATTTATAAAATAAAACATGAGACTTGAAACAAGGGTTATAGTAAAGGATTTCCCTGGGTCTCCTAGATTGAAGGGAGGCAGGAGTTCCTGCTGGAGTCTGGCCTTAGCACATCAGCAAAGAATTACAGAAGGAGAAATCAAGGAAAATGGGACTGAATGGGCGAGAATCAGACCCCTGCAAATGATTGCTATCTGACAGAGTCCGTCTGTCCCCACCCTTTCACTGGAAATGAATAATGACAATGAGTTCCAATGACAGGAATTTTTTTTTTTTTTTTTTTTTTGGTTTTTTAAATACAGGGTCTCACTGTGTAGCTGAGACTGACCTGGAACTCATTACGCAGCCCAGGCTTGTCTTGAACTCACAGTGATCCTCCTGCCTCAGCCTCCGGAGTGCTGGGATTACAGGCATGTGCCACCATTCCCGGCATGACAGGAATTTTAAAGCAGGGCAAACATTTCCTAGCAGGTTTGGGGTGTACTTGTTTTGTTTTGTTTCTTTTCTTTTTGCAGAAGTACATGGGCCAATGGAGTGTAAAATCATGGCTTAACCCAGGAAAAAGTTGATTCCCATTGAAATGTTTTCTTATTTCTGATCCTGTTCTCCATCCCAGGCTGCAGAGAACCATCGACCTATCATGGAAAGGAGCAATAAAAATTGCATTTTCAAAAAAGAACATAGCTCATTTCTTTTTGGTGTGCTTGCGTCACTTCAGGGAAAGTGAAAACAGCTGAAATACTGTGCTGACCGGCAGACACAGGGTAGGAGATGCGTACTCCCTTTGGTTCTACAGGGCAGCTCTCAAGGCCCTACTTAGATGGCTAGGATGAGAAAAAGTAGTCTTCTGTGACCAATGTCACACGACCAGACCGGCAAGGTGCTCCTTCCTCTCCCTGCCACTGCATCACCGCCCCCAGGTGAGGCAGTTATGGGACAAGGCAGGTGTTTATTACTTGTTTTGCAAGGACAGGAAGCTGGCTGTAGTTCAGCTGTAAGTGAAAATAGACCATCGTAAAACAAGGACCCAGTGGAATCTGTACCTGCAGCAGTATCTTCACTTTGCCCAGGGGCTGCCACCCACAAGCCAGGCTCTGAGTTACTGTGGTCATCCGAGTCGGTTCTACTGCGGGCCTCTTCAGACACAGCGGATGATTCAATCCCTGCCCAGTAAATAAAATACAACTGGGCGACTGATATTCTGTGGAAAAAGAGAGAGCAGAGTGATTCAGGGATTTGGTGTCCCCTAAGTAATACCCAAGGCAATGCTAATAGCAAAGAGAGAACGTGGTAGAAGTGAAAGAACAGAAGTCCAAATGAACAGAAGAACTAGAGATTATTTTTATTTCCCTTTGTGTGATTTCCTTCTTAAAAAAAAAAAAACCCATAAAACTCAAAAAGTGAAAGTAGTTAGGAGAGTTTTCTAGACAAATAAATTACCCTGGAAGGGTACATAGGAGCATTGAAATTCTCATTTGGGGCTGTGAGTACTGAAATAACTTTTTTTTTCCCACTAAGAAGTGTCTGGAACTGTTTAGACTAAAGCAAAAAGTTTCATCTTCAACTCCGTTATTAGTCATCGCTGATATGTTGTCAATTACATCATTAATTAAAGGTTTCATGATTTCAGGGTATAGTTGTATTCAGGGAATAGCCAACGCTATTGAAGATGAAAGATAAATCGCTAACATCCTAAACAATATCTTAAGTGCACAATTCCTTCCTTTAGTACAGATTTCTTCCACAAACAGGGCTGACAAGTGCCACTCTTCCACTGCTGGTATTCAGAAGGCTGCCATCACAGTGTGGTTAATGTAACTGTCACCCCGAGAGTCAAAGACCCAGAGACAGGCATGGTTTGGGCCTCGAACGTGTGGCTTCCAGACTCAGTTCACGGTACCATGGGAAAGGGATATGGGAGAGGAGAGAGCAAGGTAGCTTACAGGAGGCTTCTGGCCAAGCTGCTTAGCTCCTTCTTCTGTCACTTCAACACGACAGCTTCTAAACTACTTTCTTTGCCACACGTAGCACACATAGCTGTGTTGCCAGGGTTTCTTTTCTCGCTGTCCTGCTGGCCTGCCGGGGCCTCCGGGAAGGGATTGAGAAGGACACTGCCGGGAGGGGCATAAACCCGGCCTCTCTCGTGGCTCTGGGTGAAGGGGCAGCCTGAGGGGAAACACACAGTGTGGAGGCCTCCACTCTCAGACACAGCCTGCCGGCTGTGGCGGAAAAAAGTGAAGGAGCACACAGCCTTTCCCGAAAAAAAAATCTCGTTCTCAGTAAACGCAAGTATCTGAAAAGAATGCTAACACAAGCATCTCATTTTGAGCGCGTGATGCTTTTGCATGCTTCCAGCCGTCCTAACTATACACCTTACACTACTCTTTCATCTCATGCAATCTTATGAGACCGGCGCTCTCGTCATGCCCTCCACTTCAGATTTTCATTGTTGAGACAAGGTCTCACTGTATCTCCCAGTTTAATCCTCAGCTCCTTGGCTCCAATGATCCTCCTGGTTCGGCCTCCTGAGTAGCTGATCCACCACGCCCAGCTTATTCCACCCATTTGATGGAGGAGAAGCTATGGCACAAAGACCTAAGTGGCTTTTCCTGGGCAAGGAAATGTCCTCTTGTCTGTCTACCCCATCTCTCTTTCTCTCTTCTGCCAGCGGCCCCTTTGTCCTCTGGTCTGAACTGTCCAGAGAGACTGACCAAGACTCCTCTGTACCCAGGGGACAATGGCAGGGCGAGATGGAGTGGCTTTGGCATCTTAGTGCCCTGCCCTCCTTCTAAGGTGGTGATGTAGGGAAGGAGAGGAAAAGAAAAGCCTCACTGCACCCCGGGACCGGGGCCCTTAACTAAGAAACAGCACTTGGCGATCTTACAGGAACCTGACGTCCCCCACCGGTCTGGCAGGGGCCTTCCACACGAATGACAGGTTTCTCTTCGGGGACTTGTCGGAGTGGGTGACAGTGTCAGACTCTTCAAGACAAGTCATCAGTTTGGAACCAGGAGGAAGGAAGACGAAGGTGCCCGCTGTCCGGTGATCAGATTCAGGCCGCGCCTGCAGCAGGAACCCCATGAAATCGCGGCTGCTCCTCACCGTCACTGCAACAGAAAGTAGGGGCGGGCGGGACCCAGGGCCATCCATGACTTTCTGCAGGTGTTTTCAAAAGGGAAAGCCGCCGACCACTCTCTCCCCAGAAAGTGAACAACTCCTTGGGTGGGGTTTGAGCGGGCTGTCCTGTGTTACCCCAAAATAAACTCCATCTTGGCTCCAAAGTGTGTAAAAATGAAACGCAAAGAAACCCAAAAAATGTTATTTTTTTCTTTTTCACAAATATTAGAGTGAGAAATGTCTCTTTAAGCAGATGTAGTGGCCATATGGGAAAAGATAAATAAAGTTTGCTATGTTCAAGTATTTCAATCTACATGAAATCAAGATGAGTGATAAACCCAGAAAAGTATTTATAACATATGAAATAGACAAACAGAGATAAGGTGAGTCACTAAAAAGATAATTCTCCCCAAAAGGATGGAAGGACGCCAATGGAAAATAAAACAAGGTCATCACAATTTAAAAGCAACTGCAAAGGAGACACTATCTTATATCTATCATACTGGCAAATATTAAAATGTGTGATTACAGCCAGTATGAGGGGGACTTATGGCGAAGCGAGTGAGTGTCCTTGTTCACGAGTGCTAGGCAACTCTTTGGGGTCAAGCTTCTTCACTTAAATGTGGTTATCCCTGTCACATCTAAAGCACCAGGGAACCCTGAAAACAGTAAGTGAAATTAGCCAGATGCAGAATGTCAGACTTGTATCACCGTCTTACTTGTGTGAGATACCTAGAGTAAGCAAACTGACAGACACAGAAAGGTTAGGAGTTACCAGAGGCTGTGTGCGTCCATCCATCCATCCATCCATCCATCCATCCATCCATCCATCCCATGCATCCATCTACCCATCCAGTGGTGCTAGGGTTGGAATCCAGGGCCATATGCATGCTAAGCATGAAGCCTACCACTGAGCTCTGTATTTGACTTAAAAACCTTTCTGCTGTACATGTTTTAGGTGTATAGCATGATGTCTTACTACACACAATGAAATAGTTATTACAGTGGAGCAAATTAGCATCTCGCTAAGATGTTCACTGATGAAAAAATGTTAGTTTTATAATAAGAGAAAAGTATATTTTCTCACATGAAGGTTGTTTTGGGTACCCTCTGGGACATGATATGTTAATATCTTATGAAAACAAGAAGATAATACTTTGTAATCAAGTCACTTGTGTTATCTTAGATTACTACCAGTATAGACATCAGTTATGCCATCATAAGATTTTGCTGACACAAAATATTCATGCATATTTTTGGCCAAATAAGTGCCTCTTAGGACTAAGCCATACTTTAGGAAGCTCCCAGCCTGGAAGACTCCACTGGTTCTTTGGGGCTTTGTGCGTCTCTCGAAGCCTCTCCCACACATACCTGGAATCTGGTCACCTGCAGAGGAGGAAGACCTGCCAGCGTGGATGGAGATGCGGTGGGTGCTGGGGCGCTGGGGCTGGGCTCCCATGTGTCTGGGCTGCATGTCCTGACAGGCCGCCACACTGGCACCATGGGAAAAGAGAGCCGAGCAGAAAGCCAGGCAGAGGGTGCTGCAAGCCCAGGCCGCAAGAGCAGCTGGGACCTTCATTCCGCTCTCTCCTGCAGCGTGAAAAACAATGGCTGTGGCCAGATGCCATTTAGTAAAATGATACAAAGTCATTTGGATGTGACTGACCTGAACCCCACACTCCCTTCGCACCTTACATTTGTAGTGCTGCTTCTTGAAGGTCAAGATACAAAAGGCACCGCAGGCTGTGGGAAACATTTCATGTTAAACTCTCCCCCCACCCCGCTTTAACTGCTCTTGCCATTTTCTCCAAACACACGACTCCTTTTTGAAAAGAAGTTTTCATTATTAAATCTAACAAATAATACCTGAAAATATTTGTTTCCTACAATGAACTTATAAGCTCTCTGATAGCCGAGGGCAGTGTGAGCTATAATACTTTACTGTGGTAGAAGACACCAATATCCCAAAGTGGCCAGGGATATCTGGGGACTTGGCTTAGTCGTGTCTTATCTTTACAATTGCAAATCACAGAGTTAAATGCTACCAACAGTAATGCCTACTATCAATTATTTAGAGGTGATTAAGTTTCCAGTGCCTTGATGTTTCTTTCTCCTGCTTTTTAGTTATTTCACACTTCAGAAGATGAGCGCAGAAATTACACTCAAACTGATTCATTCTATACCTTGGTAAATATATTGGTAAAAGAAAACTGGCTCAGGTGTAGGATACCATGATTGAATAAAATGGCAGTGATAATATTTTGTAATATAATTGTAATTTTATAACATTTTATAAATTTCATTTTTGTTTACAACTTCTAATGCCCAGAAAGAATTAAAAGTTGATAATGTAAAGAAATTGAAAGCTAAAACTAAAGTGAGAGAGAGGAAATAAAATATATAAAAAGCTCTCTGAGTAAATATTTAGGGATATCGTATTTCTTCTAATAGTTTTATGTTTTAAATATTTTTGTATTCTTTTACCCAACCATTTTTTAAAATTGGCTAATATTTTGACATAAGGGGTAGCCCAAAGCAATGTTATCCCTCCCTTTTAACAAAATGGCTTCAAAAGGTAAAAATAAACTGTAAAAAGTACAGTGAAACCAGCTATTAAAAACAGCAGACAAAGGAAGTAATCCATCTCATTCACCACCCCAGATGCTGACGAGGCCCAAGGAGACTTAACTAAAGAATCCTCCAGACAACACCTTTCTCTTCCAGGTCTGTTTTTCATGAGACACTACGAGTCAAAAATGTCTACAACACAAGGGACCACTACTGTGGCTTCCCAGAATTGAGAGTGAGCTTCGAGCTGTAAAAGCTTGCCCTCAGTGGGGTGAAGGGACAGTCTGTGTTCCTTCACATGGGCCCCCTCAGAAATGCCCTTGAGCCCTTGCTGACAGCAGAAGGTCCTTCACAAAGGCAGATCAAACTCAGGTGCCCACAGAGGAAACAAGCACTGTGTCTCACAGGCCATGGCCACAGCCAGACATCTCCTCATCCCCACCTTAGATCAAGCAGGAGCTTCTTTCCCACTCGCCCCTTGTCTGCCTGAAACCCCCAAACCCTCCACTTACCTAGGAACACTCTTTCCTTCAGACTTGGTGGAACAGTTTCCTCCCTCAGAGTAACACAAATACATCCCTTTAAACAAAAGTCTCTTCTTCTCCCTCACTTTCCTCAAATGGGGAGGATGGCAGCTGTTACCACTAATCCTCGGCATCTACAGGAACCGGCCGGCAGTGTCTAAATTCAGCCTGAGCTGTATTAGTTCTCTTTAAACCACATGCACATCTTCACACACAGTTTCCAGCCAAATCTTCGTTCAAGCCTGTGGGAAGAACTAGAAAGAGCTGGAAATGGTTGTGTACATCAACAGCTTTGGGTCCTCAGCAGAAGCTGGATACCTCCTCTGTGGCCTCCCTGCCGAGGGGAGGATGTTTGAATTAAGCTCATCTCTGCATTCTCTGCTTGAGGTAATGTGGGTTCAAGAAGTTATCCCTACAGAACTGGGACTGAACCCTCATAGAAGTGTTTGTCACTAAATAAAACAAAACAAAACATAGCTAGTCAGGCCTAGTGACATACACCTGTAATCCTAGTACTCTGGGAGTCTGAATCAGGAGAATCACAAGTTCAAGCCCTGCCTGGGGAAATTAGTGATTTAGCTAGGACTGGGGAAATAGCTCAGGGTAGTTTTTGATACTCGGTGTGTATTTTGGACTTACAGCACAACTCAGATGCTCATGATACACACCTTGTAGGCTGTTACCCAAATGGGCAGTGCAGGGCTATTCCAAGGAAAGCAGAGGAGAAGACTCATACTGCAAGGTCCAGCAGGACAGCCATGGGGCCCCGTGTACTACACATGTAAGAAGAGGCAATGTGACTAAAAGAACAAGGTAGTAGTTCAACACCACAGCCCAGGTACACAGTGCTTGTATGGAACCAGGCAATGTCTGGTCAACTGACTAGTAAGCCATCTTAGAGCATCTTAACACTTAGAGCACTATCACCATGAGGTCCTCCCTGGAGCTGCCCCACTTCTGTGGCTAAGGAAACTGAGTAACAGTGTTCCTGTGAGTTGCCCAAGTTCGCACAGCTTTCAGGCTGTCACAGATAGGGTTTCTCCCTGCCGCTTTCCCACTGAGTAGCCTACAGCCTCATCTATAAAATAAGAATAATGTCAACACGCTTGTGAGGATTCATTGAAGTGATAAGAATCCAAAATTGGCACCTAGCATGGGGTTTGACCCAGAGAGAGAGAGCTGTATACACACTCAGTCTGGGGAAGGGTAAGATGGGGTCTGCGGTCACTGAGGAGGTACCCTGCAGCTGGACAGAGGGAGTCTGGACTTGGGAGCGAGCATGGAGAGGAGCAAAGACCAAAGTCAGAGCACAAAGCAGAGGACAGTGGCCTGGCATCTCAGTCCCATTCCCACGTGAGGCACCCCGAGGCTGTGCGCACCTGGAAAGCAAGAAAACATCGTTTTTTTTTCTGTGAATCTGCTTAAGATCATTTCTCACTAGCAATTTGGTGGAGTTGATATATTAACAGGCTAAATCTATTACAACAACATCCCACAGTCCTGACTAGAGCAGTGTTACTGATATCATCCATAGGGAAAGCCTCATGGTGAGTTATACAGTAATAAATCAGGTTCTTTGTGTCCTTTGGCAAATTGCTTAATTTCTCTGAGTTACCTCAGGTATACAATAAAAGGTTTGAATTAAATAATCTCTTAGATTTCTTCCAGCTAGAGAATTACACATACATTTAATATTTTACTTAGCCAAAAAGGCACAAGAATGAGCTACTATCAAAACATCTGGAGATGATGAGGACTGAAGTCGGACCTGTAATTGTCACCTGCACTGACACCTTTGCATGTCTCTTCTGGCTTAAGGCCCAGACTTGAAAAAGTTTCAAAACATATATCAGCCCTCAGAAAGGAACAATTTCAGTCCTGTTTCTGGATGGCAGAACTTCCCTGTGGTAACTCATGATCAGCCTTTTCTATTAGGGCATCTTTTCCTTTTCTTTCCTAAGTCATGAATTTCTGTCAACATTGATTGTAATTTTTATATATGTGGCATTTTAGGATCATTGTTATGACGAGCATTTTAAAGTTGAGGTAGATCAAAATAAATAAAATGCCTACAGATGCCTGGAATGCTGAGACAATCTGTGTCAGAAAAGAGAAAAATATTCGCAATTCTGTTCAAGCTCTAATTTACCTAAAAACGGCCCCAGTGACGTGTGCTTCATTCTCTATGCTGCTGGGCATTTTTGCCAGCAAATAAAAGAGTGGTTTAGTGTTTTCATTCTACTCAACTATCCCCTCCTTTATTTTCCCTGTTAAAGAATAATACAGACAAATGGGGCTTTAAAACTGATTAAGATTTGCGTGCTTCCTCTTTCCAAAGCAACATAGCCGACAGTCTGCTGGTGTAAGAAAGAATCAACAGGATCTCTCCAGACGGTGACACCCTTTAATATGGGAAGGCCCAGGAATACACAGATGCAGAGCACACAGTCTCAATCCCTCTACGGCCAGTAAAGGAGATGTACGCAGCAGCAGATTATTACAAAACAGTGAGACAAGGGATGAGGAGAGGTGCGATCATATATGGCTACAGCAGCACAGACAGTACCCTAGAGCTGATGAAGACTTTCCTTTTCCCTTTTGAAATTCCAAAGCATTCACATCCCATGATTGGATGCCAAAATTTAGGGTCAACCACTAGTATTAAACTAACACTGAGAATTCTGTATTTATGAATGCTTCATAGCATCTTTTTAGAATCCTACACTATATGTGGCCTTTCTCCTCATGGAGATGCTTGGTCCCACACACTGCCCGGGATTGCAGTTTCAACCTGACGTGTGCTCTTTTCTACCCACTTATCTCCAAGCTACTGGAGGGCAGGAATCATCTTAATTGCTTAGCTGCAATTACCCTGGCTATGCATCTCTCTCTCAGAATTCCATGTGTTTCTTGGACCAGTACGACTAACTCTGTCACACATTCCTCACAATGATCCTACAGAATATGTGCTAATTCCTTCACCATTTTACAGATGAGGAGACGGGAAGCACAGAAAGGTTAAGGATGACAATATCTGGTCCGAAGTCACATTGCTAACGAGAGGAGGAGCTACGCTGGAGATTCCTGCAGAGGGACACTGCATCTGCGGTCCCAGACTCTGTGCTATTACAAATGCTGTCACCAGTAGAAGCACCACGGTACAGTCAGGGAAATTGTCAGAGAAGAGAGGTGTTTGGAAGTTCTAGACAGCCGATTGAAGAGGTGGCGGAAGTTCCATTTCCTGACTCCCCAACAGGGGCTGGGGTTTGGAGGGCCGCTCTGGGTAAGAAACTTGGCTAGAAATTTCTCTCACTGCAGAGAACATATCCTAACTCTGCAAATCCACCACAATCGGGCAAACTGAGGGCAGAACCCAGTCTTCCGATGCATGCAGGTAAAAGCCCCGGCAGTGGACCTGGGCTTACGGAGTTCTCAACATGTAAACTGCGAATGTTTTTTCCTTTCTTTCACCCATGGCCAATTTTCT